GGTTTTCTGGGGAATGTTATAGAATCCATTACATACAGTTTCCCTATAAAATGGTTTGGAATTAATTATATGATTTGAGTAGTAGCTGTACTGAAGATCCGAGAGATGTCGCCCCTTCAGTGGTAGGAAAATGATTTTTGCAGTATGGAGAATATCAGAAAATCCACGATTTGTGACTAAACATGCTTTCACAGAAGGAAACAAATAAACGAGTGTTTTCCTTATCACCATTGTAATGTATTCGTGCAACTTTTGTGCACCTTAAACTGCCCATAAAGACAATAATGAATAAAAACTGAAAATTTTCATGCATTTCCAAATGGTTTCCTACCATTCCCATACATTCGAAGTGACTGGCCCTCTGGATATGGATGATGTCAAAAACAACAAAACATGATTAATTGATAAATACATAAATAACTGAAATATAATATCAAATAACAAAAAAAAAGTTAACGGCGGCGGTGGTGTAGTGGTAAGCGTGATTACCTTTCACCCCAGCAGGCCTGGGTTCAATCCCAGTCGGCGCCGCCAGGATGTTCTGAGGCATAACATCTCTGATCACGCCTTCCTTCGGAAGGGAAGTAAAGCCGTTGGTCCCCGGTTCATGAGTTGATGGGTCGATAGGTAGGGTCCAGGTGTGGGAGCTGCCTTCCTGGCGCGTCGATAGCATTGGTGTTCAGCACGGAAAACAAGATCGACGGAAAACAAACCAAAGGAAAAAAAAACACAAAAAAAAGTGATAAATTACTAATTTCATCATCTTTTCTGGGGAATGGTACATTTTGGGAAATGCTTTTCTGGGGAATGGTGCATTCTGGGGAATGGTTTTCTGGGGAATGTTATAGAATCTGCAATGTGTTGTCTGTGTCAAAAATATGAATAAAATGTCATTTTCTGGAATGACATTTCCCGGAATGTGATGCTTCCCATCAAGTCATTTTCCGTCAATATTCAAAGATGAAAACATTCTTTTCTTTTTTAAAATATTCAAAGAACGAAATATTTCATTCTGTAGTGAAATTGAAAATGTTCTCTTCGTTATTAGGTAAACTACTTAATTTCAGTGTTTATCAAAATATTTCACCATTCTGGGCAATATTCTGATTACAAATCAGTTTATTAATATAATCGAATCAATCCCAAATGTCACGCAGCATATATTTGAAAAGTCGTAAAGTTACGGATTGGAAAAATATAAAAAAAAATCAAATGTCGCCAATGCAGTACACTCAGGTCTTTTTTACACGGGGGATACGTACCGTGTAAAAAAAAACCGCGTAAAAAAAAACTTAGGAGATTTTGATTTTTCACATGCTTAAATGTTTTTAAAAAATCGGATTTTGATGCCATTTGTAATTATAGCATGCTATGGTCCATATAGACATATTTTAAAAATTTCTGTATGCACACCAAAAATTGTGATTTTTTTCTAAGTATGCCATTCGATTACCTATAGCTTGAAACGGATAATGTGATTGAAATCAAGTCGATAGGTTGTATCGTTGTCGAGAAATCGTTAAAAACGTACCGTGTAAATCGCGAAAAACCGTGTAAAAAAAAACCGTATAAAAAAAGACTTCAGTGTAGTCATTTCGTGTCTGCCATCGGTGAAGAGTAAAAAGAGATAGCAAACTATACTTTCTCTTTCGAAGAAAACGATGTGCAACGGAATCATATTTGTGTCGCGTCAACTCTCAGCTTGATTTTTGCAAGAATTTTTGCACGTTGTGAATAGTCTCCTAATATCAAAGGAGCTTGTAAAATCAATATCAAGCATGATATTTTGTTCCAATATCAAGCGTGATATTGAAAGCGTATGAGAGTGGAAAAATATAATTTGATTGATGATTTTGCCAACACTGCAAACGACTATTATGCCAAACGGGGTAGACCCCCACCCCCCTCCCCCCCCCCCCAATTGCTATGACCAGAACCAACCCTGAATGCATTTTTTTTCCGGTGTTTCTTGTAAGGACTCATTTCTGTACACGCGCACAATTGGGAACATAATGGTGCTTAATTCTGCGCAATAGTAAAAAGGTTTTTTAAAAAAGGGCATTTCAATACTATTTGGCTAGAATAATTGTAATTGTTCAGTGCATAGGCTGTGCCTTCCGCTAAGAAGGCTTATCTAGGGACCAACCCCCTAGTCTATACACCTACTGTCCTTCTCGTGCGATACTCTAGACACACATGGGTGGTCGTATCCGGGTCCTCCCCTGGGTAGGCTCGTGTCCGTCCAGGTTCTGGTACATTAACTTATCTATATGCATGGTAATTATACTTTTAAAACTCACCTTTTGATTATAATGTCGAAAATGCTGAAACTAAATAAAGGTTAGCGATCCATATAAGGTGTGTGCTGCGACGGAGTAGTAATTGAAGGAAATGAGGTTCTGATGTGAAGTATAGGTAATTCTAAAATAGGTAAATCAATTAATCATTAGCTGCTAACAGTTACTAATAAATGGGTACGATAAATCACTCATCAATGAGTATTGCCACTCCCACTGAAAAATGGGCAAAACCTTAATCATAAATGGATATTCGATTCCTACAGTGTATTTAAAGTAAAGTTATGATCTTATCAAGCAAGCACACACCTTTTACGATTCTTATCCTACTTACGGTTTCCTGCACATACGACTTTTCCTAGATACAAGCTTCGTCCAGTATACATTGGCTGTCTCCAACCGGCATGATCCTTTCTGTCTGCTTCCTCTTGCCGGTGCAAGTTTAATTCTTCTTTTCTTGTTCGAATTTTCTTTTTCTCCTATTGATCTTCTGGTCGTGTTCCCATTTGTCCTCAGGCAGTTAATATTAGTACATGATAGGAAGAAAGAAAGAAATAGAACAAGTTAAGTGTGAGCCGCATGCATTGGTTACTTATTTGGGTCATGGTGTTGTCTTCCCTATTTATTTGCCTCTATTCGCTCTCATATAGCAACGTTTAACTCTGGATCAACAATAGAAAAGGGCCCATCAGCACTCGTAAACAAACCGCTCCAAAGCCCCCCACTCACAAAGCGAAGGCCACCCACGCAAACCAACACCATCATCGGATAGGGGAAACTTCCACCTACACGAAGATGGTGTTGGCCTGCGTGAGCAGCCTCCGATCTGTGAGGAATGGGCTTTGGACGGTCTGCCCACAAATGCCGATGGGCCCCCTCCATTGTTGATCCAGAACTCACCCCCTTCCCTTACACTATTATTGTCGGCAAAGAGAACCCATATTCAGTAATCTATCGCGAACTGCGATGCAGAAGATAATAATAGCAAACTAATCTGGAACTGGTCTAAGACATATGACCCAGTGAGTATTGACACCTCACACTGTTGTGAATGAGCACGGACGCGAGATTTACTAGAGTATTAAATGCAAAACGCAAATTCAAAATAAAACTTGACAAGTCATCGTCAATCCCCTTATTCTTGGGCAGGGTCAGTGAACGGGCCCCATATGGTACATTTTCTCACTATGAACATGTAATTTCCAGCCTATCTGAACTATTTAATAAATGGAAACCATAACATGGGTTACGTTTCCCCTAAGCGGGCCCTCCGCATCCTATCTCTGTCTTATCTCAAATGCCAATGGTTTGAATGTATCAATATATACATTGGAAATGACGTTCAATCAAATAAACCCATACCCCACTCACTTGGCCAGGCTTCAGAATCGTCCAGTGGGCAGTACGCTCTACACTCCAAGTTCCCTTTCTTTCAAATTCACCCCAAATTTGATATTTTACCCCTTTGAGTGTTGATTAATCACAATGAAACATTGTGACAGAGCACGGACTTGAGGTTACTAGAGTATTAAATAATCTAGGTCCTATTTAGGATTATATCTGAAAAATCCAAATTTGGCCAACGCCCACCAATACTATTTGGCTAGAATAAGACTAAAACTAATTTATCTTACCAGGCAACTATTCCGATTGTTCCACTGGGTTTCACATTAAAAATTGTTGAATGCCTCGATTGAAGGTCTACGCGTAGGAGCTAACGAAACAGATTTTTTTACGGTTTCAATGTTTTTAATTTGGTTTTTGTATATTAAACTCAATTGATTTCCACATTATGTACAAGGAGCAGCACAGACAAGGTATTCAATAACACTTTGAAGAAAAAATAATATCGTGGTGATTGAATGCAAAATTTTAATAAGCAAGTACGTATAAGGATAAAATGGGCAGAATTAGTCGGCTGCATTGTAATGTGTATTGTTCGCAAGCTAATCCTGAATAGAATAATGCATAAGATCGGCATCGGCACTACTCTCTGGTGGCAGCAAACAGGATTCCGTGGCTTGTGGGTTTGGTAAAGCTACCCCCAGCAATTTCTTCTGAGGATATTCAAGACGAAAGCGTTGGGATTTCGGACCACTATAGAAGCAACATGCTACTGCTTGAAATTGCTTATATTTCTACTATTTTTTATTACCTTCTCAAGTATAACAATGTTGATATTTGGAGTACAAATCGCATGAGCAATGTACTTTCTTATCACCCATAGCCACTTGGAAAATATAGACAATCGACCTTATTGAGATACACAACTTGGTATGTTGGTAATAGTAGTAGTAAGACCATTTATTCGGTCTGTTTTGTGTGTTTTTGTTGTTGACTCGCAATATTTTTATTCCTATCCTATACTGTTCAAACAGTCGTGGGGCATCCAACTCATAACTAGTGAAAGAGGGTACAGGTAACCTAAGAGCTGTCGGTGTGAAATTCAACTAAAAAATATGCACATTTTTTCAATATTTATACACGGTATTGAATGTAGAATGCTTCGTATAGATTTACTAGGCAATGAAACTTAGGAGCTAAGTTGTGTAGTTTGCTGTGAAATAGAGAAATCTTCAGGCATTTTTGTAAGGCTTCATTATTTCATTCGACACCATTGTTGTTTGGTCGTGGAAAATAATTTACGATTTCGGGTGATACTGGGCTAAAAACAATAATTGTAATCAAATATGTATGCATGAGATACCACAGTTTAGAAAGAAGATATTTCGTCGGTGAATCAGAACACAGACCAGTCAAAACATTCGCCAATATATCCACATCGCATTCAGCAATCATTCAAGCAGATACATTTGAATACCTGCAAGTTTCACGCATCTTAAACTGAAACAATGCTAGTACGCTTCCAAACACCTTTGTCTTTCAAAACACTGCATTACCATTCAGCATCACCATTGGATTTTTGGAAAACGTAATCTTTACCGGTAATATTCATAATACCATCTTTCAAGTAGAATTTCCACTTATTCCTCGATCTTGTAATCTGTCAATTAAAACGGCAGTTAGTAAATCAACATTGGTGTCGCATTTGTCTCGCTTTACCTTATCATACTGGCAAACGACCACATTATCCGTATCGAACAAATCAGACGCATCCTCATCGGTCACATCATCTTCGCTATTCAGGGGTTCTTCCTCTGCGCCGCCTTCTCCGTCCAAATCTTCATCGTCCTCCTTATCCAAGTCGTCGTCATCGTCGTCTCCAATATTGTCGTCACTTATATCACTCGCTTCCTCGTCCGAGGTATCGACAGCTCCGTCCAACTGGTGTATAATTTCGATCATTACTAAAATGGAAGATAGCTTACGTTAGGCTATGACGTGAGAGTGAAAATAGATGGTAAAACCAAGGGGGGGGGGAGGTGGCTGTCAAATACGAACAATCGTCGCCTACCTCGCATAACTGGTTCCAAACCTAAACAAGCCATAAGAAACCTACAGCCTAATATGGACCAACAGGTCTGTGCCATAAAAAGGGAGAAACCTACAGTGTTTGTTTACGTTTGGAACCAGTTTCATACAAGATGATCAGTAGGCTGATTTGACAGCACGTCCCCCCCCCCCCCCCAGGGTAAAACAGAGTTGCAATTCAAAAACCATCGACTGAAGATACCCTTTCAATGGAAAGACATAAGCTGTCTTCAGAAATGAGCGGGATTTGCGTTGGTACGAGAGAGAGCGGGATTTACGATGGTACACACTTTTTACTTTTGCCGAGATTCCAACAGCCGAGTAGTTCTGCAATTTATTTTGTAAAGTAGTAAAACAATTGCCGATCCCGCTCCGCTCCACTTATGCACGGTCATGCCTGAATATAACTTTGAGGAGCGAAACATCGCTACAGAACTGTTTCTGCATATTGATGGTACAAGCAAGGCGAGCGACAATTTTTTTTTGACATTCTCGCTAGTAGAACTCATTGTGGGTATTTGGGTAAATACATGGTGATACAGCTCATGGTGGGTATATACATATTCACTAGAGTGATGCAAATTTTGAAATTTTCGCTCCACAATACTTAAACGATTCCAAATCGGATCCTGACTAACCTCTCAAAATTTGAACCCATTTGGTGAGAAACTGAGATGGCACAAACCATTTGAAGTTTGTATGGGAATTACTATGGGAAAACCAAGATTTTTGTTCATGTCTATCTAATAATTCACCATATTGGTCTGCTTCAAAAGCTTTCAACTGTATTTGTAGGAAATTTTCCCAGCTACAACTTTGCTGAAGATCACTTTTTGATTAAATGCAAGGATCGAAAGTTATCAATGGTTCAATGCGCTGATGTCTTATGATGATGCTCAATCAACTGCTCAGCAGGCAACATTGGTGTTTCTGGGGCGTTGAATAGGACACAAAAATCATGGCTACTATGTCACACTGCAAAATACAATGTTGCCTACAGAGCCAGCTGCTTGATCATGTCATAAGTTTACCAATCTCTTAAATAATAAATAACTTTTTCCTGTCTTGTTTTACATAAAAACGATCTTGAGCAAAGTTGTAGCTGAGAAAATTTTCTATAAGAATAGTTATCCAACTGTTTCGCAGCTCAATATGGAAAAAGACTGGAAGTAAATGAACAAAAAGTTGAGATTTCCCATAGTAATTTACATGCAAACTTCAAATGGCTTGTGCGAAGTCTGTTTCTAACCAAATGAGTTGTAACTTTGGGAGGCTAATCAGGACCCGATTTGAAACAATTTAAGCACTGTGGAGCGAAAAAGTCAAACTTTGCATCAGTCTAATATTCACCCAGACCCTCGTTTTCGTTCGAACCGTATAGGTACCGTTATACGGTTCGAACAAAAAAAAAGAATAACGGTGATTGAATACAGCTTTGTCACTATATGGGCGAGGATATCGCGCTGAGGGGGAAGGGGGGGGGGGGGGGGTTATGTGCGGTTTTGAGCAGCTGTCCCATACAAAAATTGCTGAATCATGAATTTGACACATTAGAACACCTATAATATGTAGTATATAATGTGGTTCAAGGTTTCCACAGCGATTCACCTTAACTGCCCGTAAAAGCATAACAGACAGTACTGTACCATATAGATTTTGGTCAGAAATGAGTTATACATTAGAATCGATTGTAAACTACCGGCATTTTACATTGTGCATTAAAAGTTACATAATTTGTTCAGAAAATATCGTGAAAAATATCAAAACTATTTTTTTTTTTTTTTTTTTTTTTTTTTTTTTTTTTAACTCTTTATTTGTTCCAAATTCAAAATAAATTACATTTCATTTTTAACCTAGGTGCTCCAGTTACTACAGTAACTTACCAGCCTTAATTGTTATGATATATATCTAAGTGTTATTACATTGTTCCTGTCTTGGCAATTCAGTATTTTATACAGGTTTTTTAAACCTGCATGTCAGTATAACAATTGATAGCTTAAAACTAAATAACTAAAACTAAATCTTATCTAAGTATAAAGGGAATTAATCGTTGCAATTGAGGATTGTAACGATTTTTGCCGGAAATTATTAATTATTTTGTTGGACATTTGTGCTAAAGTCTCAACATTCGAAATTCTATGTACTTCGGTAGTACTGTACCAGGGAGGCAACTTCAAAATCATCTTCAGAATTTTGTTCTGAATCCTTTGAAGTGCTTTTTTCCTGGTAGTGCAACAACTAGACCATATTGGCACAGCGTAAAGCATGGCCGGTCTAAAAACTTGTTTAAATATTAGAAGTTTATTCGTCAGGCAAAGTTTGGATTTCCTGTTTATAAGAGGATACAAACATTTAATATATTTGTTACATTTAGCTTGAATGCCCTCAATGTGATCTTTAAAAGTTAATTTTTGGTCAAGTATTAATCCAAGATATTTCACTTGGTTTGACCAGGAAATTGGAACTCCGTTCATAGTGACTATGTGACTACTACTAGGTTTCAAAAAGGAAGCCCTGGGCTTATGTGGAAATATTATAAGTTGAGTTTTGGAAGCGTTGGGAGAAATCTTCCATTTTTGTAAATAAGAAGAGAAAATATCTAAACTTTTCTGAAGTCTGCTGCAAATAACACGAAGACTTCTTCCTTTAGCGGAAATGCCTGTGTCATCAGCGAACAAAGATTTGTGGCAACCCTGAGGCAAATCAGGGAGGTCCGAAGTGAAAATGTTATACAATATAGGCCCAAGAATGCTACCCTGAGGAACTCCTGCTCTAACAGGTAGTCGATTAGATTTGGAATTTTGATAATTTACCTGCAGAGTTCTGTCAGTTAAATAATTTTGAACTAATTTCATAATGTAAAGTGGAAAATTAAACTTTTTCAATTTAGCAATCAAACCTTCATGCCAAACACTGTCGAATGCTTTTTCTATGTCTAGAAGAGCAACTCCAGTTGAGTGGCCTTCAGATTTGTTTGAACGAATTAAATTGTTAACTCTTAAGAGTTGATGAGTAGTTGAATGCCCATGGCGAAATCCAAACTGCTCATCTGCAAAAATTGAGTTCGTATTGATGTGAAGCATCATTCTATTCAAAATTATTTTTTCAAAAAGTTTACTTATTGAAGAAAGCAAACTTATTGGACGGTAGCTAGAAGCTTCAGCTGGATTTTTATCCGGCTTCAAAATTGGAACAACTTTTGCATTTTTCCATTTATCAGGAAAGTATGCCAAATGGAAACATCTGTTAAATAATTTTACCAGGAAAGACAAGGTACTCTCTGGGAGTTTTTTGATGAGGATATAGAAAATTCCATCATCACCTGGAGCTTTCATATTTTGAAACTTTTTAGTTATAGACCTTACTTCGTCCAAATCAGTCCCCCAGGAATCATCAAAAATGTTTTCGCGAGAGAAAATATTCAGAAAATCCCGAGCAACCTAATTCTCAATAGGACTAGTAAGACCCAAACTGAAATTATGGGAACTCTCGAATTGCTTAGCAAGTTTCTGAGCTTTTTCCAAATTTGTGATCAAAATTTTACCACCTTGTTTAAGCGCTGGAATAGGCTTTTGAGGTTTTTTCAAAATTTTTGTGAGTTTCCAAAAGGGTTTGGAACTCGGGTCTAATTTAGAAACATTATTTTCAAAAGTTTTGTTCCTCAGGGCAGAGAATCGCTTTTTAATTTGTTTTTGCAAATCCCGCCAGATAACTTTCATGGCAGGATCGCGTGTTCTTTGAAATTGTCTCCTACGGACATTTTTAAGACGGATCAAGAGCTGAAGATCATCGTCTATTATAATTGAATCGAATTTAACCTCGCATTTTGGTACTGAGGCAGCTCTTGCTTCAACTATAGAAGTAGTCAGAGATTCAAGAGCATAATTAATTTCATCTTTGGTTTGCAAAGGAATGTTTGGATCGAAGTTATATTCCATAAATGTTCGATATTGCTCCCAATCAGCCCTATGGTAATTGAAAGTAAAGCTGTTGGGATTAGAAATTATTTCATGGGATATTTCAAAGTTACTGGAAGGTGATCAGAACCGAAGTCAGCATGGGTAACCAATTGGCTACAAAGATGACATGAATCAGTTAAGACCAAATCAATAGTTGAGGGATTTCTTGCAGAAGAAAAGCATGTTGGGCTGTTTGGATATTGAATAGTGTAATAACCTGCAGAACAATCATCAAACAGAATATTACCATTGGAATTGCTTTGAGCATTATTCCATGAGCGGTGTTTTGCATTAAAATCACCAATAATGAAGAATTTAGACCTATGACGGGTAAGTTTCTGGAGGTCACCCTTGAGAAAATTCTTTTGCTGGCCTACGCATTGGAATGGCAAATAGGCAGCTATAAACGTAAGTTGTCCAAATTTTGTTTCAACAGAAACTCCCAAAGTTTCAAAAACTTTGGTTTCAAATGAAGAAAGAATTTTATGCTTGATTCGTCTATGAATAATGATGGCAACGCCACCACAGGGTCCATCAAGACGATCATTTCTATAAATCAAGTAATTTGCGTCCTTCTTAACCTTATGGTCAGGTTTAAGGAAAGTTTCAGTTATAACGGCAATATGCACGTTATGAACTCTCAAAAAATTAAATAGCTCGTCTTCATTATCTTTAAGAGATCGAGCATTCCAATTTAAAATGTTTAATGCTTTAAAATCCATTACTGAATTTTAAAGTCATGACAATATTATTAGCAAATTTTACTCCAGTTTGAATAGCATCAAACATGGAGTTAGATTTAAGCATATCAGAAATCATGTCAATTAATGAATTCTGTAAAAATTCCATTTTAGGAGCAGTAATGCTTCCTAAGTCAAAATTGTCAAAATTTCCGTTAGAACGTTGGTTAGTATTTT